GAGGGTGTGGATGAAGGTTATGTGATGGTGTGGATGAAGGTTATGTGATGGTGTGGATGAAGGTTATGTGAGGGTGTGGATGAAGGTTATGTGATGGTGTGGATGAAGGTTATGTGATGGTGTGGATGAAGGTTATGTGATGGTGTGGATGAAGGTTATGTGAGGGTGTGGATGAAGGTTATGTGATGGTGTGGATGAAGGTTATGTGAGGGTGTGGATGAAGGTTATGTGATGGTGTGGATGAAGGTTATGTGATGGTGTGGATGAAGGTTATGTGATGGTGTGGATGATGGTTATGGAATCTAGTTTTCAGACGTCTCAAAGCGAGGTTATGGAACTCGAATCATTCATGATGATAACCTGTAGATCCTGTACAGTATGAATCTTGGCGAGTTTGCGTTTTTGTAGTGAAGCATATATTGACTGGAATGGACATAACGTATCCATGTTCACGTGTTTCTCTTTCCTCCCATGCAATCGACCTCTTGCCCCATCGTTTGGCCTGCTTCTATTGCAGCCCACCTGTGCTGTGTCACTTGTCTGTTTAAGATGCCTTCTTCTCCCTTTCTCTTGCCCTACTCTTCTTCCCTCCCTCCCTTCCTTTCCCTCCCCCATCAGTGGACTACCCGCAAATCGGCACTGATGCTTACGGTACGCGTGTATTAAAACTGTCCCCCATCAGTCAGTGGACTACCCCAATCGTCTGAGTTCCATTATATGGTTATTCCAGTTCAAGTTGTTACATGGTTTCATAGCTGCTGAGTCTGACCCACACACACGGTATTTATCTACATTTTTTCAGAAAAGCCTACTGATTTCGCTCACTATCTGCTCGTGAGTCCAATGGAGCCCCAGGTTGGAGCCATTTCTTTACGTGGCAGCGACTCGCTTAGTTAAAAAGTAGAAAGTTGTGTTTGCTTGTAACTCACTATCTGCTCGTGACTTCCCCCCTACCAGGATTTTACGTGTCGATAAACCAATTCTCGGAGAAGCTTGACGACTACTATGGTTCTTGCATATAGTGAGTGTTTTATTTCATGGTTTTTGGATTTAGTGAGTGTTTTATTTCATGGTTTTTCATATAGTGAGTGTTTTATTTCCTGGTTTTTGCGTATAGTGAGTTTTTTATCTCATGGTTTTTGCATATAGTGAGTGGTTTGTCTCTCGAGCGCACCTCAAATCAAAGACAACATATATTTGCGGGCGGGCTATGAGTTGTCGCCCCTCTGCCCTTTGCCCACCATTGCTTACGCTCACAACAATCCCAACCCTTCCAAGTTCCAACCATGGTTCAGTCATGCATACACGTGAACATGCCTCCTCCCCTACTCCTCCCCTCCCCTTCCTCCCCTACCAGTGCAATCTCCAAGCCCCAGCTTCAAAGGCCAGAGAATGCCACCATTCTCCGCTTCGTCGTCCCTTACTCAGAGGCCCTAAGCAATCCAGCCTACACCATTTTCCCTCAGAAGGTCGCAGCTGATGGGGACTACGACTACCACCACGGCGGCACCATGTACTTCGGCTGGACACCAGTCAACTCTAACCCCGGCGCTCCAAACGAAACCGTGCTGGTTGCAAATTATACCATGATTGGCGCCTTTGCTATAACGGGTACAAGTGCTCTGGGCACACCGGAAGCGGAGCGCTTGGTGGAACCACACTGTGCTGCCGTCAACACTCCCCCATACTATAATCCTTTGCCCGTGACCCAGAAACCCGGGCCTGTTCCCACAGCTTGGAAGATGAACACCACAATTGCACCCATCGGCCCTTCGTTTGTAGATATGCGGGGCGTGGTGGTGAATCCGGGGAAGAGGCAGATGTGGGTGAGCTTTATGTCGGCCTTTGGCAAGGACATGAGTGCTTCTGCCGTGGTGGCGAGGCTTCGCTTGTCCTTGAGGCTCAAGCGCAAGTGGCGGCCGTTTCAAGTGTTTCTGGAGCGGTTCAAAGTGGTGGGGGTGGGCGGAGGGAACAGTCTCATTCAACCCACGATCGCTCTCAACAGGTGGGAGAGAGGGGGGACGGAAGGGGCGGATGGGAAAGAGGGGAGAGAGGGATCTGATAAAGCAGGGAAAGAGGAGAGGAGAGGAGAATGTTACCCTTACCGTGCCCTTACGGTGCCCTTACGGTGCCCTTACCGTGCCCTTACCGTGCCCTTACGGTGCCCTTACCGTCCTCTTTCCCTCCACACGCTCTCTTTTTGGCCAAACCGACACACACACACACTCTCTCTCTCTCTCCCTTCACTCCATTCCCCAGCCAAGGCAAGGGCATCATAGCAGCGTCACTAGCAGGGCGTTCCTTCTACCCCTCAGCTGCCTATGCCACTCTCAACGCCAATGTGGATGTCGGCCGCGTGGTCGTTACCGGCCCGGGGGAAAGCGCCTCTCGACGACTTCACTGGTAAGTCCTCAGCCCTCGGGTGCTTGGCCCTCGGGTGCTTGGCCCTCGGGTGCTTGGCCCTCGGGTGCTTGGCCCTCTGCTTGGGCCTCTGCTTGTTGTTTTTCTAGTGGACATGACAATACTGTCTTCCTGAGGAACGCCCTTTTGACGACTTTACTGGTGAGTCCTCTTACGCTGCTTGCTGGTTTCTTAGCGTCAAAGTAATCGCCGACGTTGGGCAGGTGGGCTGCGGAGGCCTTACTTCCATTAATAGCAGTTTTTTACGTCTAAGGAGAATCCTTGCCAGCCCACCGAAAGCTCCTTTTGATTACTACTCGTGTAGGGTACTCGTGGCAGCGACTTTACAGTCTATGGAATTGCCACCTTACCCCAGTCTCCTCTTGTAGGGTATATGTGACAGGGACTTTACAGTCATGAAGAATTGCAACTGGTAAGCCACCGCCACATGTGTCACACCCACACCCTCCCATCTCTCGCTCTCCCCCCCGCAGGGTACCGCGGTGCAACGGAGATGCGGTATGGGGACTACATGACTGCGATGGTGGACGAGGAGGGGAGGGCACTTTTGATGCGACTCACGAGTCTTTCCCACCCCTTTCTCCCCTCAAGGGTACCGTGGTGCAACGGAGATGCGATATGGTGACTACATGACGGCAACGATGGACGAGGAGGGCAACGCGTGGGCGGCAGTGCAGTATGTGGCGGGGCAGCCGCGAACAAACTACAGCAACTGGGCTACCTTTGTGTTCAAAGTCGACCTGCAGGGGGGGGAGGGGGGGGGGAATGGGGATGGGGCGAACGGGGACGGAGGGAATGGGGACAGCGGGGGAAATGGGGATAACGGGGGGAGTGGTGATAGCGGGGGGAATGGGGACAATGGAGGAAATGGGGATCACGAGGGGAAGTAGGAAAACGGGAGAAATGGAGAGGTTGGGGGGAATGGGATACAGGGGGGACGGGTATAGCGGGGGGGATGGGGATAATGTGGGTGGAATAAGAGGGGGGGGGGGGGGGGGGGTTGAGGAAGTGCGGGGAAGAGGAGAGTGGGAGAAAGGGGAATAAGGGCGTGTTCCTACGGCCCCTTATCAGGCGACCTCCTGTCAGAATTGTGCGGTTCATCGCGTTTCAGTGCGATCTAATGTTATTACGTGTGTTTCAGTGCGGTGCGACACGAATCTGACAAGAGGTTTGCCTGATAAGAGGTCGTTGGAACACGCCCTAAGGGCTAGAAGGGGATGATGTCTGTAGAGAAATTAGGAGAAGGGGGTGATATCAGCCCTACACGTGCAGGAGTGTTTCTCTCCACACGCATGTGTGTGTTGCTCCCTCAGCAACACAAACTGTCTCCCTGCAACTCATGCGGGCAGAAACATCGCAGCGCATGACATCACATGCCATCTCACAAACATGTGTTGCTCCCTCAGCAGCACGGATGGCCCCCCCTGCAATTCCTGCTAATCAGCCCACATGCCGGCGTGTGTTGCTCCCCTCAGCAACACAGGATATCTCCCTGCAACTCATGCATGGCATCTCATCACTTGCCATGTCAAACATGTTCAAATGCTGTTTCATTTTCATATCTGCCATCACTTCTTATCATTCAACGATGCCGTACCTGTTTGCTGCTCGTTGGTTTCGCTTTTGAGAATTCGCATGCAATCTACGGTATGCCGTACAAGTGGGAGAACTTCTCAGCTACGCCAATTAAAACCTACACCAACACTGAAAGTGTTTGTACACGTATTGATGTTTCATGTGTGCTTTTGAGTCGACTCAAAAGCAAACTGCTACGCCAATTAAAACCTAGACGAGCACTGAAGTGTTTGTGCAGTATTCATGTTTCGTGCGATGCCTCATTTGTGCGCGGGCCTCAGTAGTGGGCTAACAAGAGGTGTTTTTAAAACGTGTACAACGCTGTTCTTACTATCTGATATAAGGTTGGCCTGATAAGGGGCCGTAGGAACACACCCTCAGACCCAATGTGAGAGCCTGGAACATAAGATATGGAATCAAGGCAGCCATATTGTCACCATCAGCATTGCACCAGTCACAGTTGGATCTTAAAAAGCAACGTGTCTTCCAGGTGCTCCCTCCCAGAAAATACTCCCTTCTGAGGCACCTAAAAAAAGGGTTGTATGCCGTACCCCAGTTGCTCCGATTGGTTCTCCTCGGTCCTCACGGGATATACAGCGCGGTACTGTAATCCAAATCAGAGGAACCTTGGCAATACAAGCACCCCAGTTGCTCTAGTGGGTCCTGTCCTGGGCCTCCCCTTGCACGTACTGCACTGCTGCCCATGCGTTGCCCTCTTCGGCCCTCTGTCACAGTTGCGCCAGTGGGTCCTGTCCTTCCTGGGCCTCCCTACCACATACCGCACTGCTGCTGCCCATGCGTTGCCCTCTTCAGTCCTCTGTCACAGTTGCGCCAGTGGGTCCTGTCCTTCCTGGGCCTCCCTACCACATACCGCACTGCTGCTGCCCATGCGTTGCCCTCTTCGGCCCTCTGTCACAGTTGCGCCAGTGGGTCCTGTCCTTCCTGGGCCTCCCTACCACATACCGCACTGCTGCTGCCCATGCGTTGCCCTCTTCAGTCCTCTGTCACAGCTGCACAATGAAGATATAGGTAGCCCAGTTGCTCCAGTGGGTCCTGTCCTGGGCCTCCCCAGCACATACTGTACCGCACAGCACCGCTGATGGCTTACCATCCAAACCGCCAAGAACGTTTACAGCTGCCACCTGAAGATATAAGTAGCCCAGTTGGTCCAGTGGGTTCTTGGTCTCCCCGGCCACATACTGCACAGCGCCCCATGCGTTGCCCTCCTCGTCTATGCCTGCTGTCATGTAGTCGCCGTACCGCACTGCCGCAGCAAACCCCCATGTACCCTGGGAGAGGGGAGGGCAGGTGGGGAGTGGGTGGAAAGGCGGGATTAAGGGCATGGGGCGGGGAGGGGAAAACGAAAAGGGGGGAATTGGAGGTCTGCATGCATTGCCCTGCCTCGTCCACGCCTGCTTCCATGTACCCTGTGGGAGAGCGGAGGGGAGGGGGAGGGTGGGGGAGGAGGAAAGGGGGGGTGGACGGTTGAAGGAGACGGGCCCCCTTGCGTTGCCCTCCTCGTCATTCCTGCTGTCACGTAGTCACCGTATCTCACTGCTTCAGCGAACCCCATGTACCCTGGGGAATCATGTTTCTCAGACTCGCTTCAGCGAAGCCAGCAGCAGCAAGCACCACACATTATCCACACACAGCAACACCTGGCACAGCATGGGCAGCAAGGGGGGAAAATCCTTTCTAACCCATCCTGATCAGGCCGCATGTCTCACTCCCCGAGTAATCATCCAGCGCTGCCCCGCCAGCTGCAGCAACCACCACGTCTCCCGCCTCTCCCTCCGTGTTCACAGTCGCATCCGCAGCCAGAGGGGTAATACGACGGCCCTGCCAGCGATACCGCCATGATCCCATTTAGAGTCGACTCAAAAGTTCACTCACCCGAGTAATCATCCAGCGCTGCCCCGCCAGCTGCAGCAACCACCACGTCCCCCGCCGCTGTCTCTCCATTCACAGTCGCATACGGCAGAGGGGTAATACGACGGCCCTGCCAGCGATACCGCCATGATCCCATTTTAGAGTCGACTCAAAAGTTCACTCACCCGAGTAATCATCCAGCGCTGCCCCGCCAGCTGCAGCAACCACCACGTCCCCCGCCGCTGTCTCTCCATTCACAGTCGCATACGCAGCAGAGGGGTAATACGACGGCCCTGCCAGCGATACCGCCATGATCCCATTTAGAGTCGACTCAAAAGTTCACTCACCCGAGTAATCATCCAGCGCTCTGCCCCTGCCAGCTGCAGCAACCACCACGTCCCCCGCCGCTGTCTCTCCATTCACAGTCGCATACGCAGCAGAGGGGTAATACGACGGCCCTGCCAGCGATACCGCCATGATCCCATTTTAGAGTCGACTCAAAAGTTCACTCACCCGAGTAATCATCCAGCGCTGCCCGCCAGCTGCAGCAACCACCACGTTCCCCCGCCGCTGTCTCTCCATTCACAGTCGCATACGCAGCAGAGGGGTAATACGACGGCCCTGCCAGCGATACCGCCATGATCCCATTTTAGAGTCGACTCAAAGGTTCACTCACCCGAGTAAATCATCCAG